CATCCAATGATCCAGTTTTTAATAATAATAATTATTAAAAACTGGATCATTGGATAATGCAATTCAAGACTTTTTATTGGCTTAGCCATTATGGTATTATGAGCCAATATACCATGACCTACACATATGGTAAGCATATGCATCAGCTTAAAATCAAAAGGAAGCTAAAAAATCCAGTTTATTCTTACAAAATAATAATTTCTTGGGGGCCATTTTAATAAAACAATTATTCCACTCGCGCTTGTTGGATATGAGATGATTATAGCCAACGAGGCGCGTAGCGCCGAGTTGGCTATCTATCATCTCATATCCAACGCACGCTCGTGGAATGATTGTTAATAAGCACATAATTTGTTAAAGGTAATAAGTTGCATGATCATCCTTTAACCTCTGGAAACAGAGAAACCAGTGTAAGAGAAAAAGAATCTTCAGCCTGTGAGAATTGACTATTTTTTCTTGGCCTTTGTTCCCAACGAAAACAATACAGCTGTAAAAGCTATTTGCTCTAAAATCTAAGATTAATAAAAATAAATACCTGCCGCCTTGCTAGTTCTTCAACTGCTACTTCACGTAGACTTTTGTAAGTGTGGCTTCTAAGTATGTCCAACCTTTTAAGTTGATCCTCTACTGCCCGAAAAAGGCAGTTACCATCACCCTTGATTACTGAATGCACTCGCAAATTGTTGGCAGACAGCACACGATAAAAGAGGGTTTCCTCTTCAAGTTGTGGTGAGGGAAGTTTCTTCTTGGTGGAACCTTTGGTTTATTAGCATTGCAAAAAAGGAAAACATTTAAATCTTAAAAAAATCTATGACCCACATAAGTAACTTATCTCTCTCACAAAGGCTTACAGAGGTTGGCATCGCTGTCTATTCATCTTCATATGAAACATAAGTTTTCTTTGTGCAATCTCATGAAAAGAAAGAATTGCAAAAAGAAAAAGCCACAAGGATAGTGGATGCCTTTCTTTTCATCTTTTTCTCCTTTTTTTGCATGGGTAATTTTCGAAGACAATTTATATAAACTTATAATTCAAGCATTCATTTGCTTTTATTGAACAAAGAGGCAGTCCTTCATTATTGATGTTAATGCTTTTCAAAGTGGCAACCTCAGCCATTACACATGTACACTGTAGGCACAAATCCCAAACCTGTAGTTGGTTGCCATCTCAATTTGCCTTACAACTTACTTTAATTAGCATGAAATATTTACTTACCATCACAGTGAACTGTAGATGTTTTACTATGAGACTTAGCATAGTGAGACTTAGCATGGTGTAATTCCTCACTGTCTTGCACTGCAGCTCCCCTCTGACCTTTACCTTCAGCTGCTAAAATGTAAAGAGAACCAATTGAAAAGAACTTTTAACTGTCCTTCTATTTAACAACTAGAAAATACTTCTAAAAGTAAGTAAAGTTCCCTACAGCTTATGAAATTCTATGATTTTGCATGAACATTTACAGATTTATTTCAAGTTTTCTATAATTTATGAATATGAAGCTGGTTTTGAGATGATGCAAAAATAATAACTTCTTCCATTTCTGTGAAAGTGTAGTGTGATTGTCAAGGTGAGTGTAGTCCTGAGAAGGACTGTTGTTGGTGGTGGTGACTGACATTTTGACACCCTGTGCAGAAGTCATCATCAGATTCGAGTGAATAGTTGTTGTCAGTTGTTGTCATTCTAAGGTTCCTTTAGAAAATATAAAATATGTCACAACATTTTGCAACCGTTCATGGATTTACAATATTTACCTTCAATAGCTCTTATAACATGCTCTCTACAGAAATTTAAGGTTCATTTAATAACATCAATGATGGTAACCAATACCTCTTTTAAAGAAAACCTAAATTAGCTTTATTATTGTACAGACCTTTTGCTGAGTCACCAACATGAGTGCTGTCTGCATGTTTTGAACTCAAAGTATACTTCAATAGAAGTAGCAGTGAAAACATGTCTTCTTACCTATCACACACATAAAAAATGTTCACTACCGCAATCGTAGTTAGCTCAAGGGATAGAGCACTGGACTGTTGTGCCAGAGGTTGAGGGTTTGAGCCCTGGCTGGACCAACACTCATGGTCTTAAAATAACTGAGGAGAATGTGCTACCTTTCTATAATATCAAGAAATGGATAGACATTCTAGTCTTCTCGGATAAGGATGAATAACCCATAGGTCCTGTCTCCTGCATCTATTAATTAGATAATTTGATTAGGCAGGGGGCACTATAGAAACCCACATCATGAGATTACTGTGATGTGGTCTGGCCTGTTTACTGGGAATTGGGGAAGGGGGCATCTGTAAAATTTGCCTTTGTTGATTGTAAACTGCCACTGGCAGTCTGGTAAAGTCCCCTGTACAGTCTTGTAAAGTTCCTTGAACATAGGATAAGAGCGCCATAGAGATAAAAGTTATTGTTATTATTATAAATATATTACAGGGAGAGATGTCTTTCCGACACACATTAGTTTAATGCCTGATGCAAATCAACCATTAGTGAATACCACACAGGTGAAAAGTACTTTCCTTTCGGGAACCACCATATTGAAGCGACAAGTTTTCAAAAATACAGCGATTAAAACAAAGAAAGGGACCAATTGTCCTGAACATGAGTATTGAAATACTTCCAAACAGTACTATCTCGTTTGGATTGATTTACAAGTGCACAATTGATGGAAATCTGAGACGTTCTGATCGCGATGGGAAAACCAGCAAAGTGACGTCCTAAACTTGTTTGGGAGAACGGCAACGCTAACACCGGAAGTCGAATGGTGTCATGTCCAGACTATTCCGTGCGCTCTCCCGTTCTGAAATGACGTTCCCGTCCTCTTGCTAAATCTCTCTAATCTGTCGAGCATGGTCAAATTACGAAATCGCCGCTCAACTGAAAGACCCCGAAAACTCGGCCAGAAATAAGGAGCGACGGGCAGCCGCGCTACTTACACGTATCGGTTCTGATGATGACATCATGTGATGATGACATCATTCTGATGCATTAGACCTAATTGATGCCATGGAGTTCGAGAATGAAGACTAAAGAAAAGACCCAGAAGTGATCCTAGAAAAAATGGAAGACTACTGCATTGGGGAGTGCAATGAGACCTATGAAAGATATGTGTTCAACCGCCGGGACCAAGAGGCAAACGAATCAGTTGATGTGTTAGTCACCGCATTACAAAAATTAGCGAAGACTTGCAACTATGGGTCACTGACAAACTCGCTTATTCGTGATAGAATGGTGGTGGGCATTAATGACAATTCCGCTTGTAAGAAGCTCCTGCAGACAAGCAAGCTCACATTAGGACAATGCATAGACATCTGCAGATCTTTGCAGACATCAGCAAGGCAGCTGAAAGAGATGAATCAAGAGGATGTCCGTTTAGTGAAGGACAATAAAAAAAAAACAGTTGACAAAAGGAACGCAAAGGTTCCAGAGAAGAGCCAAAACGAGCCACACGAACGCAAATGCAAGTTTTGTTCCAGATATCATCCTTTCACTAAGAAGAACTTCCCTGCATGGGGAACATCTTGCAAAAATTGTGGCGAGCTAAATCATTTTGCGGTATGTCGCCAAGAATCTTGGAAGAAAGTGCTGTCTGTGAACTACACATCCGAAAACAAGGAGTACGAATATGTGGCCGAAATAGAGGTGAAACAGCAGGTTGATGCACTAGCCTCTAATCGCTCCCCCAACAAAGTGTTTGCCACTCTACTGAAAATTGGGGTCAAATGAAATCAAATCTTGTCAGTGAGCACTGCATTAAGTTAAAAAAAAAACAAAAACAATTGTAGGCCATGTCTGGAAGAGAAAATAATACAAAACTTAAAGCTTTTACAAACCATAATGACACTTTGATCAATAAACTGGAAACTTTGCAAAACAAAATCATCTGTTCACAAGAATCAATAAAACTGTACAACCAAGGCCAGCCAGCAGAAAAGACACATGTTTACAGTGCAAGGTGTCAAAATTTCACTTGTTTCGATTTTGATTTCCTCTTTTAGTTACTCTAAACACCAGAAATAAATCTCCTTAGCAGATAGGCTACACTCTGAGTTTGACCTCCAATAAAAAAAAAAGTTTTTGACAAGAAATCAAAAGAAGTAAAAATGGAGTCCTTGAAAGTTTCTTTATACTGGTTGCTTTATTGAATAATAAGCTTCACCCAGATTGTTAGCAAAAAATGTTGGGAATAAGTTGTGGCCTATCCACCTTTGTTTATAGTATATATTATTCTGTACAAGTAGTACATGAACTTATGTGATCTCTAGTATAGTTTGGTGTACTGGTAATCGACAATTATTTACCAAAGTGGAGGTGAGCATTGGTGGTTACTGACACTGAGGTGATTAATTGTTTTAGTATCTACCACTCAGAAACCTAAACAATCACTTTATTTCTGTTGATATACTGGTACCTAGAAATGGTCAGAAATTAAATCATCCTTATGCTATTTTGTCCCTTCAGCTGCTTGGGGGTGACTAGTACTTGCTATGATCACTTTCAAATCAGACAACATTGGCAAGCGATCCAAGATTTCAGGACTCATTTTGCTTTCGAGTGAGCAAGGCTTGAGACAATAGAAGGGCTTTTCTTTAATACATTTCTTTAATTAAGCCTATGTGAAAACTCTAAGAATGGGATATATGCTGTTGAATTTTATCGTAAATCGTTTCATGAATAACCATGCTGCATGTTGAAGTTTGGAGCAGTCAATGAAATGAACAATCACGAAGCTTA